ATATATATATATATATACACACACACACACACACACACACACACACACACATATATATATATTTTTTTTTTTTCCGGGAATTTTCAGGAAAGTCCACTTTCATCTCTGAACTTAGCAACTCTAGTTCTGTAACTAGCCACATTTCCAATCCCTCTAGTCCGGTGAATGTGTTTTGAAAAAACATCTCGACCCTTTTGGTGGTTATATTGGAAAATCATGGACCCTTGGAGACTCCCTTCAAAGCAGATATTGAAAATTGTTTACACAGTAACCCCCTGCTTGACATTGGTCATAATACACCAATTTTTTTGATGTCAGTCATGATGTTGGGCTTTTGTAGTTAATTTAGCTTCTGCGTTCAAACTGGCTGCCTAAATTTGAGATGTGCAATCTGTGACTCGCTCCGTTTCTGTGCAGCTGCTGGAGGCGGAGACTGTGCAGCACATCTTCAACAACAACTACCAGCTATGCACAGAGATATCGGAAAGTGTCCTGCAGCACTTCATCCACTGCTTGGCCACACATGGACGCCATGTTCACTACCTCAGCTTCCTGCACACCATCATCAAAGCCGAGGGCAAGTACGTCAAGAAGTGCCAGGACATGGTCATGACTGAGGTGAGGGTCCAGCTGAGGGTGTTTCGGCGTGGACATGGCCTCTTATGTGACCAAGAGTGTGTCTCTGCAGCTGACCAATGCCGGTGAGGATGTAGTTGTCTTCTACAACGACAAGGCATCTTTCAATGTCATGCTGGAGCTGATGGCCGAGAGCAGGGAGGGCATTGGTGAAAACAGCCCGCTCAGGTAAATACAGCAGCAGCATCATGTGGAAAAAGGTCATGTATAAGATGGCACTGTGGTGTACAGGTACCACATCTCACTGGTGGAATTGCTGGCGGCGTGTGCAGAGGGCAAGAACGTCTACACGGAGATCAAGTGCACTTCGCTGCTGCCACTGGAGGACGTTGTCCGTGTGGTGACGCATGAGGACTGCATCACCGAGGTTGGCAGTATTTGAGTGTTTGTGTGTGCATGCTGGGAGATCACAGTATATGGTCGTAATTGCTGTAGCCTACGTATCTTTGTGAGAATGCTCGGCAGCATGGTAGCGCAGCGGAATGGTAAATGTGTGTCATAAACTTGTGGTTGGTTCGCATTCATACTTTACTGCTCTGTGGCTCTGCCGTTCGGCCATTTTGTCTACGTTCAGGTAAAAGTCGCTTACGTCAACTTCGTCAATCACTGCTACGTGGACACGGAAGTGGAGATGAAGGAGATTTACACGTCCAACCACATATGGAACCTCTTTGAGGACTTCACAGTGGACATGGCCCGAGTGAGCAGAAGAGTTTTGTTGTCTTACCATTGACCTGTGATTGCTAAAGCGGTGTGTGCTCCTCGCAGGTCTGCAACAAGCGAGACAAGCGACTTTCCGACCAAGTCTTGGAGAAGTATATAATCAACGTGGTCTTTGACACCATCAATGCCTTCTTTAGCTCGCCCTTCTCTGAGAACAGCACCTCGCTGCAGGTCAGCTCAAGCTTTGCCTCTGCAGTGGTGTGCTTTGTCTTGTCCTCGGCTTTGACTTTGCCACATCTCCTCTAATTGTTAGAGTCATCACACCATCGTTACACAGCTGCTGCAATCATCCGTTCGCCTGCTGGACTGTCCCTGGTTGCAGCAGCAGCACCGGAACCAGGTGGAGACCTGCATCAAGACCCTTGCGGTCACAGGTGACCCTTCGTTCAGGATGAGACATCTTGTTGCTCACTTTAATTTAGAACACTACTTTTGAGCAGAGGAAAAGGTTTTTATATGCGATGAAACTAGTATTGGAGAAATCTGATCTCTTTTGTTCTAGTTTGATTCAGCATTTTTTTTTTGAGCAGTTTGTTGCTGGAGCAGCCTGCTAAATGGGCGTGACACAAAAGGTCATGATGACATAGATCCAGTCAAAGACATGACATTTACATATAAAGGGTATTTATGATTCTCATTTCACTTTATCTCCTGATTTAATGTTATTATCATACTTTGGAATACAAGAAAAACATGAGAATAACTATTCATAAACTGCAGGCATTACGTTGCTGTTGAAAAAATAATTTCTTGATTATAATCATAATTTTAGTTGACCTGTTGACTATACCTCTCCACAATGACGATCAATCACCGATCACCTGTTTTGGCAATTAGGCTTGGAGAATAATGGAACATATGTACCAGCGTTCCTTATGTTATAGACAAAAACATTTAACTGTATTCATTATGGTTTATGAAAAAAAACAACATCACGTAATCAGATTACAGGTATAATTATTTAAAATGGTTATTATTTCACAGAATGGCAATTTCCACATGTACTTACATACACCATTGTTTAAAACCCTGAGAGTCCTTACAAGTGGACAAATTAAGAAAATTGTCATGTAGCTCTATGGGCCATCCGACTCCCCGTTTGCAGTAGTTCTGAGCAAATGGGTCCACAGTCAAAGGGAGGCAGAGGAGCTGGGTGTGATGTGTCCGCCAAACATTTTTAAAAGCATTATGGAAGAAAGGAGGAAGCAGTGAGAGGTGTTAATGATGTCATAATTGGTGTCACATGTCTCTTATGTCACCCATGTTATCAACAATGTAATTGGTGATGAGGTCACTGATTAACGTCAATGATGCCATCAATATTATCATTGATGTCATCGATGGTGTCATATTATTTATTATGTCGTTGATGTCACCGGTGATCTCACTGATGTCATATGATGCCATGCATGTTGTTATGTCATGAGAAAAATAAAAGTGGGATAATTGTCTCCTCCCAGCCAAGAGTCGCTCCATTGCTCTCCCTCTTGACCTGGAGGCTCAGATTAGCGCCATGTTGTCCACCAGCGCTCTTAACTCGCTGTCACGCTCCAGCACCAGCTACAAGTCGACAACGCGCTCCTCGCGGCCTATTGCCCCCAGCAACCCGTGGGACTACAAGAATATCATCGAGAAACTGCAGGATGTCATCAATACACTGGAGGAGCGCCTCAAACCACTTGTCAATGCAGAGCTCTCCGTCCTAGTTGACGTTCTCCATCAACCAGAGCTTCTCTTTCTGGAGGGAACAGATGCACGCCACCGCTGCGAGTCTGGCGGATTCATCTCCAAGTGAGAGGGATCATCTCATCGATTTGTGATGACTTTCGTAGCAAGTGTCAGGATCATTCATAAATTCATGTCCGTTTGTCTATGTGTGTTTGTGTTGGTAAACAGGCTGATCCAGCACACAAAGGCACTGATGTCCTCAGAGGAGAAATTATGCATCAAAGTTCTGAGAACCCTGCAGGAGATGTTGATCAGAACACTGGACTTTGATGAAAAGGTGACGAACACAGATTTCTTCTTGTCATGATTTATACAGAAATATTTACATTTTTCCTTTGTGGCTTTCTAGGGAATTTCACTGCGCAAGGTTCTACTGCAGAACTACTTGTTTCCTAACAGGAAGAACAACCCGAAGAATGACTTAGTGGAACTCGGAGCGGCAGGTCCCAAATGTTTATTCTGCGAAAAAACAAACACCAGATTTCCTCATTTGGTGGCTTTTTTTACTCAAGTTTAGCAAGTAACAATCGATTTGTACAGTTCAGCATTTATTTCTCAGTGTAATATTATTCAGAAAATGTTTAATGCTCAAATTTAGCTCTACAGATGCCACATACTGTGCAGGTACTGCTGTAAAGACGTCATGTGGTGACATCATAATAAAGGTTGTTAATAGTGCCGATGTTTACATGCAGCCACTCACCCTTTTAAAACCCGAATATTAAGGTTCTTAAAGGCCAGGTAGCCGGCGCTATTCGATTACTTCCCACGACAACTAAAAGTTGAGTTCATTATTTTATCAATATATTTGTCTCCATGTAAGCCTAAATCTTGATGTTTTTCTCTTAAATCTTGGTCGAATTATTCTTTGGAATAATTTTGTGGTATGCTCAATTCTGGTTTAGGGTCACGTATGATGTGTGGTATGAAGGAGTCAGACAGAGAGATTGCGAGAGAGTGACAACAGCATCATGTCGTGTGGTGGACTTGAACTTCAATTTATTTATTATTAGTTTACAAGTTGCACACGGTATGTTGTCTTTTGTCGATTTATTGAGTGTTTGTGTCGAATAAAAAAGATGCTTTCTCACCGAGGCCACTTTTATCCTGTTTAGCAGAAATCAAGACCTGGATAGCTCTGCATTTCGTTAATTTCATTGAAAAGAAAACAGAAGTGATGGTGTTTGGTCCCAGCGGCTCTTGTACTTCCCCATTCTGCTGACTTGGGCTCCTTGCCTCTTTATCTAAAGCCAACAGTCTCGAAATTGGGTCTTCAACTGGACAGTGATTTTAAATTGGACCGGCAAATTGGTGCTGTTGTCAAATCCAGCTTCTTTCATCTCAGTCAGCTGTCTCAAGTAAAGCCTCTCCTTTCTTAAGAGCAGATTAAAACAGTAATTCGTGTCTTTGCCACATCTCTGCTGGATGACTGGAACACACTTTACTTTGGAGTTAGCCAATCCTCCATTAAGCGTCTCCAGTTGATCCAGAATGCTGCTGCTCGCCTCTTGACTGGTACTCGTAAGAGGCAGCACATACAGTACTGTCACTCCTACTCTGGCATCCCTTCATTGGATCCTTATCCATTTTAGAGCTCTCTTTAAAGATTCTATTATTTGTTTTCAAATCTTTGAATGGTGTCGCCCCACCTTACCTCTGTGTGCCCCTCTGACCCTCTGCCTGGTGCCTCAGATCTGCAGACCAGACACTATTAGAGGTACGTAGGACAAAGCGGAGGCTCAGAGAGGATCAAACCTTTTCTGTTGCTGGTAGCGCTTTCGAATCTCGCGCTGAACGTTAGTCAAGTGCGCTTGCTGTCCATTTTTAAAACTCATCTTAAAACTCCATTTTTTTTCTTTGGCTTTTGACTCATAATAAGACTTGATTTAAGTTTTACTGTTTTTGTGTTTTCTAGTGTCTTTGTTATTAATTTATTGTTTATTGTTATATTGATTAATTTTGCTCTACGTACAGCACGTTGTATACAGCGGTGGTTGTTCTAAAGTGCTTTATAAATACAGTTGAGTTGAGTAAATATTGATTGTTAATACGTGGGAAGGCTTTTTAGTTTTCATGGTGTTCCATAATGGAAGTGCAATACAAGGTTTGGTTATTGACCGGAGTACTGTAGATACACACAATATGCTCTTATTTGGGTTTTCAAAAACCTGGATTTCATCCCTGGTTTACCCCTTTTCCAACCCGAATATATGGTCATATAAATGTGAATTGGAATACCTCCATCCAAAAGGATATTGGTTTGTGTTCAGCAGATGCTCTTACTCTCTCGGTAAGGCATCTTGGTTTTTGTAGTGCAGTAAATTGTATGCTTTTATGCAGGCGTCATCGCCCTAACACCCCTAACTTTAATCCGTTGATTTCTCTTTCACATTATTTTCTGTCTACGGCGAAAAAGACGGTGTATTCAGACACACATATACATGCGTGCAACTCGCCCAAAATAAACAAGCAGACGTAAACAGTCATGGCGAAACCTTCTGAGACAGGAGGAAAATGGCTGCTTTATTCCTGTGGTGAGCGGCAAGAATAGAATGGATTTTATTGACAGGAGAGAGTAACAAGTAGAAATCATGTCTATTTGGATCAAGACGTTAATGTGTTGCCATTTAAATCGAGCAATATGCTCTTATTTGGGTTTTCAAAAACCTGGATGTTGTGTTGCCATTTAAATCGATTCATTCAAATGCGGCAGTAATTCTTTCCACTAACACATGCAAACTGATTATCCCAAATATTTCAGAACCCGGCATTTTGACCTTAACCCGAACATCACTGGCAACACTACTAGTTTGATTTGCAGTATGACACTCCCGCTAATGAATTCATCACTGTCTGAGGAAATCTGAAATTATCGTAGCAGGTTTTTTCATGGAAACTACGGATCAAAAGGTTTGAAATACAGTATGAAGCCATGACATGCTTTGCATGACCACCAGGCGCTGAGCAAGAGCGCGACTGGGCAGCGGTGGCAGCGGTTCAGTGTCGTCTGGATCGGGAAGGTGGGAGCAAACTTTTTACAGACCTGGTGATGTGCACCAAGAATGAGAAAATCTTCCAGGAGAGTATCCAGCTGGCCATTTGTCTGCTGGAGGGAGGAAACACAGAGATACAGGTCACTTGCGGCCACCTTGTAGACATGAACATCATGTGCTCATGTGGCTGAATCCGAGTCCAGACGTTTCATTTTTGAGAGGCCTTCTTCTGTTTTCTCAATCCTGTAGAACTCGTTCTACAAGCTGATGATGGGGGACAACAAGTCGGAAAAGTTCTTTAAAGTTCTTCACGACAGGATGAAAGAGGCACAGATGGACATCAAAGCCACCGTGTCGGTGAACGTCGGCGAGATGTCACACAAAGCCAACGAGAAGGACCTGGACAATGGTGAGGTCACCAGGAACACACTTCGTGAAGACGTCTTCTCAACACGCATGTTGTTCACTGAAAGGCTCTTCTTCACCACTTGGACTTCCTGCCACCGACGAACATTCCCAACTGGTCCAGGGCCAGGGCGGCAGCCCCTCTTCCCTGCAGGCTCATTCAACAGCGGAGCAGAAGGAGGTGGAAACAGAGATGGGCCCAGCCGTCCTCATCATGAAGCCCATCCTGAGGTTTCTACAGCTTCTTTGCGAGAACCATAACCAGGATCTTCAAGTGAGTGCTGGACCCATCTGGCCAACACTGGAATACACAAATTTTCTATTTCCTTTGAAATTCTCATTTGTCGTGCTCTTCCAGAATTTCCTGCGCTGCCAGAACAACAAAACCAACTACAACCTAGTGTGTGAGACACTGCAGTTCTTGGACATCATGTGTGGAAGCACCACAGGTGGCCTGGGCCTACTGGGCCTCTACATTAACGAGTCAAATGTTCACCTCATCACACAAACCCTGGAGACCCTCACAGAGTACTGCCAGGGCCCGTGTCAGGAGAACCAGGTAGGAAAACGTGCTTCTCCATCACACGAAGGTTCCGCGTAGGAGATTTTTGTGTCTGCTTGTTTCAGACGTGCATTGTGACACACGAATGCAATGGCATAGACATCATCACGGCGCTCATCCTCAATGACATCAGCCCGCTGTGCCGTTACCGGACAGACATGGTGCTGCAGCTTAAGGTGCGCTCCTCTCACATCATGTGATATTATGATGTTACACGGCATCATGTAATGTCGTTTCCTTCCCTGTGACCAGGACAACGCCTCTAAGCTGCTGCTGGCGCTCATGGAAAGTCGTCATGACAGTGAGAATGCAGAGAGAATCCTGTTCAACCTCCGCCCCCGAGAACTAGTAAGATCTCCTTTTGTTCAGTGTGTCAGTGAAGAGGCTCATCTACTGACAGTGTGCGCGTGTGTGTGCGTGCGTGCGTGCGTGCGTGCGTGCGTGCGTGCGTGTGTGTGTGTGTGTGTGCGTGTGTGTGTCTGTGCGTGCGCGTGTGTGCGTGTGTGCGCGTGTGTGTGTGTGTGTGTGTCTGTGCGTGCGCGTGTGTGCGCGTGTGTGCAGGTCGACGTGATTAAGAAGGCCTACCATCAGGAGACTGAGTGTGAGAGTGGGGAAGTGTCACCCCGTGAGGTGGGACACAACATCTATATACTAGCGCAGCAGGTGAGCCACTGTGCCATCGTCAGTGGCAGATAGGATCCCATAGCCAGTGTTGTCCAGACTAATGACCCCTCTCTTACCTTTGACTGCCATGCCTCCCACCTACCCATTGCAGAGTCAGGTGCAACTGGGATCAAGCTGACAAATAGTGTTTGTTAATTTCACACTACAAGACCATTAATTGTAACAGAAACTTGATATTTTAGCTGAGTATGAGTTTGTAAGAGTTTAGTATGAGACTAGTCTTTAAGTTTGTAGTGTCTTCATCGAGAGTGATAGTGACATCTATTGATATTAGGGGTTGAACCAACATGTCAACTTTACCACTCAGCAAATGTTATTGCGAGAGGTTGATTAATTGACAAGCATGTGTTACGGCAAGAACACGGACACCAGATTAACAGGGGGTCGAGTTGCGCAGCAAATTTGGAGCAGTGCCTCAAGCTTGTGCCAATATTTTATGAAAAATGAGACGAGAATATGAAAATGTGGCTCAGTAAAATATGCAAGTTGCTAACACAAGCTGACAAAGAGCCTCACTAATCACACCAGTCCTCAGCAAATTCACCAAACGCCCTCCTGCAATAGTGAAAAAACTGATTATCTACTGTCGAGGTCAAAAATATCTTATGTAAAAACGAACGGGTAATGTTGAATGAAACGAGCGATTCTTTCAACTGTCATCTCCCTCTTTGCACTCTGCCCATCCCCCCAAGTCAGTCATCTCGGCTCCGGCCTTCCTGTGTGGAGTTTGCATGTCCTCCCCGGGCCTGCGTGGGTTTTCTCCGGGTAATCCGGTTTCCTCCCAGATTCCAAAAACATGCATGGCAAGCTGATTGAACACTCTAATTGTCCCTCAGTGTGAGTGTGAGTTCGTCGATGTGCGCCCTGCGATGGGCTGGGAACCGCTTCAGGGTGTCCCCCGCCTACTGCCCAAAGACAGCTGGGATAGGCTCCAGCACCCCCCGCTAGCCTTGTGAGGATAAAGCGGATCAGAACATGCATGGATGGATGGATGGATGGATTTTTTTTGTACTGTAGCACTGCAGTCATGTTGTTAGAATTTTACAAGTTCTGACTGATTATGAGGCCATGACGGTATCTGAATTTTATTGGATAAATGAATTTGTGCACGCAATTAGATACTACAGAGAACAGTAGTGGGCGGGTGAGCAGGCTTGTTTTTGGAGGCTCCCACAAGTTGACAACTACAAAAAAATAAAATAAAATCAATGAGGTAATTGATTAGTTGATGTTGACTCAATTATCATCACTTCAGCGGCGACTACAAATATCTGAAGTTGGTCAATCCATGATTGGTATACTGATATTATTTTACAAATCTTTAGTTTTTTTTTTTGGTTTTTTAATTAATGTTGCCTGTTCTGTCCTGTGTTCTGCCTTTTGTAAGAAAGGTGATGTATAAATCAAGTATTGAATGAGATTATCATTTTGTTGGTGGTGAGCAACAATGTGTCATGTTTGTTTGCAGCTGGCCCGCCACAACAAGGTGTTGCAGAATCTTCTGAAGCCTCCAAAGAAGAGCAAAGAGGGCAAGGAAGGCATCTCCTCCATGGTCAACTAACTACCCCTTACATACTGTCAACATAGATCGACTTTGTTAAATAACTGATTATTTTTTGTTTTGCCAGTTAAACTTGAACAATCGGCCGCTGTCGCAAATGTTGAAGTCATCAATACCGACTGCCATTGTGGAACAAGACCCGCTGGAGTACTACGACATGCTCACTTCTCAAATAGAGGTACCCTTTATGCAAATTATAATGCAAATACTGATTCATGTACTACAACCTACCCACTTCTCTGATAGAGGTAGTTGTGATTCTATAGCTTTTCTCCTGTATCAGTTGTAATCATAATAATAATAATAATAATAACAATTTCAACAAAAACAATAAAGACCTAGCCGCAGTCACTGCTCGGGCCCGAACTGGAGCTGTGAAATCGATTAAAAGCTATTTTTATTAAATATGACCTCTGCAAAAGGCCCAAAATGAGGCAGAATATGAAAGGTAATTAAAAATCCGCAACTTCCTTTTGAGTTTGAGTAGGGCTCCAGAGACTTTTTTGAGGTCTTGGGCTGTTATACGTGCCTTCAACTTTTGGTAGGTCGTGGTAAAATGTTCACGAAGGGCTGTTTCTTTAAACATTTGTAGAGGACGCAACTAAATCATTTGTCTTTTTTAAACCACAAATGAATCAAGTTTCATATGTTTTCACAATTTGCATAGTTTTTCTTGGGAAATGGTGCGTCCTCACGGCAATAGCATTGGGCAAAATAAAAAGCATTGTTTTTCCTGATTGTCTTGAACATCTTCGGATGAAACACCCACAGTTTCAAGACAATTGGGTAAAAGTATTTTTTAACAATGTATATAAAAGGCCAAAAATGGGTCTATTATTGGTGTTACATTTTCATTGATCTTGGTCACATGTACAACCTGAGCTGCTTCTCTAAAAATTTGTAAACGGCGTTGTTGAGCCATTTAAAAAAAAAAAAAAAAAATTACACGATAAGCTAATTAAAGATTGATACTGTTGCTAGGCCTAATGTGTTTGCAAACTTTAAGTTTTCATACATGTTTAGCCCCTCAAAAATAAAATTTATATCTACAAACTTCATGTAACAACATCATGAAGACCCAAACACTCTTCCGAGCAAATATGACATAAATCTGGTTAATCCACTGGTAGAAAAACTTGAAGGAGTAAAACATATATTGCCTCCAGCCAGAAAGTGGTGCGACCACTACAATAAAAATAAGTTCGTCAATGTCTTCAGGCATCAAATGTGGCAAATATTGACAAGATATGATCATGTGGGTCAAGTTACAGGAGCTTTTGTAGTCAAGGCAATGCCGAATTTACAAGTAAATTCTAACGAGTGGACTGCCTGTTAGGTTTAGCATATTGCTCCAAGAGACTTTTTTGTTGGTCTTTGGTAGTTACATACAAACAAACAAACAAACAAACAAACAAACATATACCACCAATTTTTTTGTTGCTCTAGGTCAGTGATTCTCAAATAGTGAACTGGGGGGGCGCGAGGCTCCATCAAGGGGGGCGCGTTTGACCTCAGGGAACATGCTTTTTATTTTTTTTACTTTTTTACTGTCCTAAAATAACGTGCAGTTGCACCTCCACTACATTAGGGGGCAGTGGCGCTCTCATTGGCAGAGTTTTCGCAGGGAGCATTCTCAGGGAGGAAATATGACAAGGCGTATGTAGCGCTTGGCTTCAATGTGACTGCGGTGGCAGACGAGGAAAGATCGATGTGCTTACAGTGTCTAAAAATTTTGGTAGAGGACAGCATGAAGCTAACTAAATTAAGCGTCACTTAAAGACATTACACCCCAAATCACGCTGATAAGCTGCTTGATTTTTTTTCAGCAAAAACGTGCCGAATATTGCCAACAATCATGCCGCTTTGTGACTGCTACTTCAGTAAACTAAAATACAGGTCGCGGCTACACATTGAGCAGGACCGAGAGTGGCTGTGTCCTGCTTCAAACCTTGCTTCGAAAAGCTGTGTATTGCAAAACGTGCTCATTTGTAGCCATTAATCCAGACATCATCTTTGATTTAAAAAAAAAAAAAGAACAAATTCTTTTATATATTTTTGTTTTGCTGGTTAAATTTTTTTTAATATTGTGCTCCTGACATAATGTTGGTGATTAGTTTGAATGCATTATTAGTTATTAATTATTTGTAATTTTATTTTTCAGTATCGTATGGTTTGACATGGTCAGTCAAAAAATATTTATTGTTAAATTAAGGATTTAATGTTATTTTTGAATTTCAGATGCACTTTAAATCGTTTCTGTTCCAGTTACTAAAGCTATTCTTTGTTGTAAGTTGGTCCATAAAGTTGGTCCATATTTCTTTCTTTTTTTATTCTCTTATACGCTAATAAGGATACAGTGTTATGCAAAGGTGTACTTATAACAATTTTATAGACAAATGATACTATTTATGGTCGTGCGGGGGGCGCGAGATGTTTTCCTCTTCCTTGGGGGGGCATGACAGAAAATAATTGAGAACCACTGCTCTAGGTGAAACATAGAACCAGGGTTTATTTGTGAAAAAATTCTAGGGGCTGCAAAGAATAAGACTTATTTCCACTAGCCAGTAGGTGGCACTACCACTGTAATGAAAAATTAGTTCATAGAAGTCTTCAGGCCTTCACTCATCAAATGTTTGACATTTTGACGAGACGTGGGTCAAGTTACAGCAGCTTTTATAATCATGGCGATGATGAATGTTAATGTTTGTAAATTAAAATGGAGGACTTCCTGTTAGATTAAGCATATGGCTGCAAGAGACTTCTTTGTAGGTCTTGGGCGGATTCATACACCACAAAAGTTTTGTGAATCTGGGAGAAATTTAAAACCAGTTCTTAAAAAAATATATATTTGGGGCGCCTGTGAGGCTTTCTGAATAAATTGCCCAATAAACTAATAAAATATCGATGGTTTTTCCAGCCCTGATGTGAATGCATAGTTTCATGAGTTTTTGTGCATGTTTAGGCCCTGAAGGACAGCGTTGTTTACTGGGAGAAGTGAGCGTTGTTACCGCGACGTTTCATAAAAATTCACAAATTTGGGGTTTTTTATATTTTTTCTCAAATGCTAAAACAAAAGCCAATCCTCTCAACCAAATGACCAGTTGTCTCAACACATTTACCTTATCTGGCCATCATTTCCCAACACCATAAACAATGATGATGTGGATCCATCTGATGTACGGTAGTTGTTCAAGGGTGTTTAAGAAATTCTGGAAGACTTTCCACATCTTAATGAAGCCCTGCGTCAAGATGTGATAACATTAATAAAGTCTCATCCTTGTCTGTTTGCCGATGTGCCCTCTACAACTCATCTGCTTCACCATAACGGTGACAAAGAGAATTATCTGCCGCCTCTAGGGTTAACTTCAACAAGCACCATTGGTTACAGGAGTAGGTTGTATGCTGAAGAACGGCATTGCAGATCTCCTAGCTGGTAAATCTGATGGCTCAGACCGTTTTTGTACAGACTTCTGCAAAATGAACAGCATAACCAAGCCAGACTGTTATAGTCTTCCTCGAGTTGATGATTGTGTCGATCTTGTTGGGGATGCCAAATTAGTAACAAAGCTAGACCTTTTGAAAGGATATTGGTGTGCATAATGCACCTGCAACCTTCCAGCACTTGGTGAACGCTTTTCTTGCGGGATTGTCGGATTGTGAGAATTACCTGGATGACATTATGGTCTACTCCCAGTCATCGGAGGATCGTATCGAGCAACTTTACGCTGTGTCTGGCAGGCTGTGTGATGCAAACCTCACACTGAACTTGGCGAAGTGTGATGTTGGCCACGCCACCTAACTTATTTGGGCAAGGCATGGCCAGGTCAAACCTGTGCAAGTTCAAGTTGAGGCAGTTCTGTCTTTCTCAGCTCCTCTTTCTCAGCATGACCTCCACCAGTTTTTGGGGATGATGGGATATTTTTGGTCCAGCCATCCCACCAGCACCACATCATCTTCAAAAAGCAGAGATACAAAACTGAGGCCACCAAACCGGATGCCCTCGATGACATGGCTGCGCCTTTAAATTGTGTCCATAAAGGTTATGAACAGAATCGATGACAAAGGGCAGCCTTGGCGTAGTCCAACCCTCACTGAAAACGGATTCAACTTACTGGCAATGCGAACCAAACTCTGATATCGGTGATATAGGGACCAACCAGCCCGTATCATGGGGCTCGGCACACCATACCCCCGAAGGACCCCCAGCAGAACCCCCCGAGGGACACGGTCTAATGCAGTGGTGTCAAACATACGGCCCGCGGGCCGGAACCGGCCCCCAAGGAGATTTGATCCGGCCCGCGGGATGATTTAAAAGTGAAAAAAAAATGCATGAAAGACACAGAATGAATATTTTAAATAAAATGCAATTCGTGGATTATCCGCTAGGGGGCACACTGATTTGATCACAGTAAAAGACAACATTGTTTTGATCGGGGAAGAAAACAGCAGTCTCAGTCTGTCACCGAGATAGACCCAACGCAGCAAATGATATGAAAGCGCCAATCAATGCTTCTTGAGACCAAAACAAAGGAAAGATGATATTTTGGTGATTCATAGCACAGTTTGGTATAATGTTAATGGTCCGGCCCACTTGACATCTACCGAGTCCGTATGTGGCCCACAATGTGAAATGAGTTTGACACCCCTGGTCTAATGCCTTCTCCACGTCCACAAAGCACATGTAGAATGGTCGGGCAAACTCCCATGCACCCTTGACAACCCTGCCAAGGGTGTAGAGCTGGTCCACTGTTCCACGGCCAGGACGAAAACCACACTGCACCTCCTGAATCTGAGACTCGACTTCCCAACAGACCCTCTTCTCCTGCACCTCCGGATAAGCCTTACCCGGGGAGGCTGAGGAGTGTGATCCCTCTGTAGTCGGAAAACACCCTCTGGTCCCCCTTCTTACAAAGAGGGACCATCACCCTAGTCTGCCAATCCAGATGCACTCTCCCTGATGACTATGCGATGCTGCAGAGGCATGTCTACCAGGACCGCCCACCAATATTCAGAGCCTTGAGGAACTTCGGACGGATCTCATCCACCCCCCGGGGCTTTGCCACTGAGGAGCTTTTTAACCACCCCAGTGACTAAAACCCCAGAGATAGGAGAGCCCAACTCAGAATACCCAGACTCTACTTCCTCTAAGGAAGTCATGTTGGTGGAGTTGAGCAGGTCTTCGAAGTATTCTGCCCACTGACTGACAATGTCCCGACTTGAGGTCAGCAGTGTCCCATCTCTACTATACAGTGTTAATAGTGCACTGCTTCTTCTTCCAAAGATGTCGGATGGTGGACCAGAATTTCCTTGAAGCCGTCCGGAAGTCAGCTTGCACGGCCTCACCGAACTTCACCCACGACTGCATTTTTGCCTCAACGACTGCTGAAACTGCATTCCACTTGGCCAGCCCGTATCCCTCAGCTGCCTCCAAAGTCCCACAGGCTATAAAGGACTTTTTCTTGACAGCATCCCTTACTGCCGGTGTCCACCAGCGGGTTTGGGGATGCCGTTACGACAGGCACCAAGCACCTTACGGCCACAACTCCGATTGGCCGCCTCAACAATAGAGGTGCGAAACATGGTCCACTGGAACTCAATGTCCCCGGAGGGTTGAAGCTTCTTCTGATGGGGGATTCCGTCAGACACTCCCAGCAAACCCTCACAATACGTTTGGGTTTGCCAGGTCGAACTGGTATCTTCCCCCACCATCGGAGCCAACTCACCACCCGGCGGTGAGCAGTTGACAGCTCCACCCCTCTCTTCACCTGAATGTCCAAAACAACCGCCACCGCAAATCAGATGATACGACCACAAAATCAGTCGTCGAAACTCGGCCATGGATGTCCTGGTGCCAAGTCCACATATGGACACTCTTATGTTTGAACATCTGGCAGAGAAGTCCAATAACAGAACACAACTCAGGTCCTGATCGGGGGAGCTGTTCCCCCCAATCACGCATCAATTCCTACTAAAACAATAGCTGAGCTCGCAGTGGTCGCTGCTCAGGGCCTCATGATATTAATCATTATCATAATTCCTCCAAAAACAATAGGAATATTGCAGCGGTTGCTGCTAGGGCCCGAATAATAATAATTTCCACAAAAACAATCGGGACTTTGCAGCAAAATTCTTTCAGATCACGAGCAGCTTTGTGGAACCGCATTTTCGGATCTGATCTGTGTGCTTTTGAATGATGGATGATGCAGTGATAAACAAACCATTGTGCGCTTTCGAGAGGTAGTGTTGGGGGCATAGTTTTCGCTGAACATAAAAATAATGCCACTTTAGTAGTGGCACTGCAAAAAATTATTCATAAACACCAAAATGTCAAAATATGTATCTTACTTCACACAGTGATTGGATGCTCCCTAAATTTGGATGCAACGTGTGGGCACGTCCCTGATCTATTCTTTTGCCACTCCATCTCTCAATGCGGGAGATTAATTAGTTGGGCCCTGTTTTTTTTTTTTTTTTTTTTTTTTTTTTTATTACCGCTTTCTCACAAAAAGCGTGTGCATGTGTGTGTGCAGATTGTGCGAGAGGATCGCAGCATGGAGCAGATCGTGTTTCCAGTCCATCCCATATGTGAATTTCTGACCGAGGAATCTAAGTTACGTGTGTTCAACACGACGGAGCAGGATGAGCAGGGCTCCAAGGTGACACACTTCTTCGAGCAGACGTCCTTCCTGCATGGAGAGATGGAGTGGCAAAAGAAGCTGCGGAGTGAGTCTCAGGGGCCATCGGTGACTTAATTCAGAATCTCACACACCCTTATGAAATTTTCTCACGACTGAAGTTTTTTCAAAGACACTGTTGAATTGCTCTCATAATCATGATCCAAATGCTTCCAGCTTGACGGCTGAGACGCTCTCATGTCACCACCGAAACACACGCTTCCATTTGCCCTAGCTGCTAAAAACTAACTTTACTAAAGCACTCTCACACACAACTAAAACACTCTCACGTGTACTACTGAGTGCTCGAACAAACAACTGAATATTTATTAGCTCACAAATAATATTGGTTTGCTCTGACATGTACTACAAAAAAATTATTCACTTACACACACGACTGAAACACTCATATTCTGAAAAGATCTCACACGCCCTACTGAAGAGCTCTCACATGCAGTACGAAATGCTTTCAGATGCTATTTAAACACACACAACTGGAACTTATCTCTCAAAACCACAAAATATGCTTGAGCCACATTGGTCCCCAACCCCCAGGCTTTGGACCGGTACCGTTCCATGGGTCATTTGGTGCCAGGCCACACAGAAAGACGAAATGACTTACATTACTTCAGTTTTATTCATTTCAGAATCTGAAAGATGTTTTATTTTGAAAAATTACCGGATTCTCTGTGACATCCATCTACAGCAGGGGTGCCCAACCAGTCCACCTCGACCGCGACTGATCCCAAGTCGGTCACGAGATGCGTTGGGGGGAGATTTTTTGTTTTTGTTTTTGTTTTGTTTTTCAATGACATGACATGACAGGAAGTCATTGTTGCTATAGCAGTACACATATTTACTTATATCTTTAATTATAAAACCTTATACAGTAATTAACATTCATCAGCATTGTCTTGATGCGGATGTGACAGTGTAGCCTCCATTCGCCTCAAGAGAGCTGCTGGCCAGCTATCCCATGGCAATTAAGGAGAAGCCCAACCACCCGCTCTCTCTATATATATATCTATATATATATCCTCGTCTCACCCCTCGGGTGGTGTCCGTCCCCCATTCAGCTCGGGTCCTCTACCAGAGGCCAGGAAGCTTGAGGGTTCTGCGCAGTATCCTTGCTGTTCCCAGCACTGCACATTTCTGGACTGAGATGTCCGATGTTGTTCCGGGATCTGTTGCAACGACTCATCTAGTTTGGGGGTCACTGCCCCGAGTGCTCCGACTACCAGCTCCGACCACCACAGGCACGACTGTCACCTTTACCTTCCAGGCTCTCTCCAGCTCCTCTCTGAGCCCTTGGTATTTATCGAGTTTCTCGTGTTCCTTCTTTCTGATGTTTCCATCACTTGGGACCGCTAGATCCACTACAACGGCTTTCCTCTGCCCTTTATCTATGATCAGGATATCCGGTTGGTTCGCCATAACCATCTTGTCAGTCTGGAT